TCATCGCTATCATCATAATTAGCATCATCATCATCATCATCATCATCATCATCATCATCATCATCACCATCGTCATCATCAGCATCATCATCATCCTCCTCATCATCACCATGATTCCCACAATAATCAACGTTATCGGCATCGTCATCGTCTGCCGTCGTCGTCGCCGTCGCCATCACCATCGTTACATCATTATCATCAACATCGTCGTCATCATCATCGTCATCAACGTCATCACCCTGATCATCCTCATTACCATCATTATCTGTATCACGGCTCTCCCAAATCTGGAGACACGAAATGTCACACGTTACGGCCTCCCGTGCCCCCTCGAACAATCGCTGCCAATAATGGATGGCTAGCGCGGTGGTGCGACTTTCCGCGGGCAACTGGATAGCAACAAACACGAACTGAGGCCAACCGTTATCGACCCCCCGTGCCGTTTTCTCAAATGGTATAGGCACGCGTTGATCTTCCAAGCAAATGCACTCTGCAGGAATGCCTGCCAGATCCACTGTGCGGGCCACGTGTGCGCGTCGCCGCAAGCGCATGTGAACTTCATTCAGCTTCCAAACCAAGCAATCCAAATCAGTTATATAGATATATACACATATATATGTATACCCCTACACGGCCACCCTTCCAGTGGTAAGGAGGTTCGGGAGGAGGAGCCAACGTCACACTCAGTCGTTCTCACGATCGATCTCACTATCGATATCACTATCGATCGTACTATCGATCTCGATATCGATCTCGCTATCGGTATCACTATTGATCTCACGATGGGTCTCACTATCGATCTCGCAATCGATCTCACGGTAGCTCTCATTATCGATCTTAATAGCAATATCAGTATCAATCTCACCGGTCGATATCATTATCGATGTCATGATCGATATCACCATCGAACGTACTGTCGATCTAACTCTCCCTCTCACTATCGATCTTACGTAATCGATCTCGCTATCAATCTCACTATCGATATCACTATCGATATCACTATTGATTTCTTTATCGGCCTCACTCTCGATATCACTACCGATCTCAATACGGGATGCCGACAGGACACTGGCGGGACAACCGCGGCCAACGCTGGACAACCCAGGGGAGGAGAGGCGGTGTTTTGGCCCGGCAGCGCCCTAGCCAGAGTCATGTTCATTCATTCCGCCCGCACATGCATCTTCGCCTCGCCCGCACACACGACACGAACCCGAAACCGAAACAGACTTTCAGGTGGGGGCTCTCCGTTTCAATGCGATCTCACCCCCTCGCCTCCGAGATATGAGACAACTTTTAGTAACCTGCGGCTTCCTCCATACAAGATCTGCCAGAGCACTGCGCGCGCACTCGCTGGAATCAGGAGAACGCCAGATGCTTGTGGAAATTCTGGCGGACGCACGTCGAACACAATGTAAGTCGGCGGCGAGGGTGGTCTCAGGCGCGAGCAACAGATGGAAGTGCTTGTTGCGATCGAAAACTGTCGAAAACTGTCGAAAACAAAATGTACGCATGTGGAACACGTTCATCCACCATCGCGCACCCGCCAACTCTGTCAAACACTCGAATGGCGACCACATGCGCGCGCCTCCGCGCGCACGATGAATTCCTTCCGGCACCATCGCGTTCCCACGCATGTCAACACAGATGTCATGTATGAACGCCCCATTGCTTTCCAATCATACGCCTGCTAAGACTCCAGATGTCCTGCCTCGGCGCGCACTTGCTCATCATCCCCAGCAACACCATCGTCATCATCGCCAGCCTCATCAGCGCCACCGAAATAATCAGCATCAGCAGCATCATCAGCATCAGCATCAGCATCAGCATCAGCATCAGCATCATCATCATCATCATCATCATCAGCATCGTCATCATCGTCATCAGCACCAGCAGCAGCGTCATCATCATCATCATCATCATCATCATCATCATCATCATCATCATCATCGTCACCAGCATCTCCATCAGTATCGTCTTAGTCACCATCGCCCTCACCATTATTATGAACATTATCATAGTCAGCGTCATCGTCATTTTTACCCCCAGCACATGCATTTTCATCATCGCCAGCGTCATCATTACCACCGTCATCACCATCCTTTCCATCACCATCACCATCGTCGCCGTCGTAGTCGTCATCATCATTCGCAACGTCGTCACCACTACCATCATAGGCATCCCTATCGTCGTTGTCGTCGCCCTCGTGGTCAGCGCCACCATCATCAGCATCAGTATCATCATCAGCACTCGTTCGCCTGAGGGACGGATCTACATGAGAAGGATCCTCGCATCGTTGCGCCATTCGAGTTTTACCAACTAGGTGCGAAAACACATGAACTGCACCACACACGAACACACATTGAGAGTGCAAGAGTCCGCTGTTTGGTGTCCGCGCTGGCAAACACTGCGCAAACGAGCCAGTCTCGATCAGTGAGAGCTTGGATTCGAAAGGCCTTCCAGCCCTTCAGCGCGTACAGTAACAATAGGCCCCATTATCACACCGACGGCGCCTAGCAATGTACAATTGCACCCCTCCAACCCGTATCGCTTCGAAAAAATTGAAGGCAACGCAGCGCTGCTAATGCATCGGCCAAGTCGCCGCACGCCTCGGCTGGTGCACAACAGGACAACTAGCACAGCCATTAATTGCCGATCTTGGGCAGCACGAGCCCCACGGGCGCCGAGTAACTACTTGCCAACACTCGCGTCCACAGACCAGACCCCGACGCAAGCTCATGACACTGCATCGGGAATACCTGATCGAGGCTGGTGGCAGGAGGCTTCCAGCCGCCTGATAATCTGCCAACCCCAATATCAAAATGCTGGCGCTCAGCAATCCGTACTGCTATGCCCCCGCGACCACACCGCTTCGATGGAATGCGAAGGCAAAGAACAATTGCTGCTGAATCGATATGTCCGCCGCAGGCCTGGGCATGGAACGCCACGGGCGCCGAGCTGCACTTGTCGAAACTAGCTCTTCCACTGGACAGAAGCAAGCACGCACTGGCACCATCGCACTGGCACCATGCAGTACTTGTCTCAGGAGGGCTCTCGCCTGAACGGCAGACACACATGGTCCCCTCGTTCAAACAAGAAAGGCCTGTAGAGACTTATACGGGAGGGTGCAACAGTCACACACCCTGCTGGCCGCAGCCCCCAGTGTGGCTGTCCTGCCGATGCGAGCGCGGCAACTCTATGCCAATCCGCCACCGTGCCTTCGGCAAGAGAGCTGCCTTGCTACACAAACATTCATATCGAGATACCGCCACGATCACAACTACGCCAGCACGACTCCCTTCGAGGAGCACGGGCAGGCGATCGCGCGCGGATCCCTGGAATGCAGCATGCACTCTGGCCTCGCCGCTTCGCAACACGGACGAGGAAGACAAAACGTCTCACGAACGTGGCCGAACTTTCGGCCGCCGCCGCGGGACAGGAGGGGAGGGGAGGGAGGAGGAGGAAGGATGGCAGAGACAGGGAGGGAGGGAGGAAGGGTCCAGAAAGCCCTTGAGACGTCCCCACAATCACGTTGCGGAAAAAAGGCATGCGACCAGAAGCAGGTGAAACACAGCAGGTGATGAACTAGGGCCCTAGGGGAATGCAAGAATGTGCGTCGTCGGTGCCTCATCGTTGCCGGGTGAAAAGCCCTGGCTCACGGCGGGAAGCGCGACACAAAGTCACTGCATGCCCGAGGTTGGCGCTCCGCTGGGCTCCCCCGAAGGGTGGACTTCCCAGGAGTGGAGCAGACAAGAGGAAACAGGAGGCGGGAGACGAGAGGATGGAGCAACGAGGAGGCGGGAGAGAAGGAGAAGGAGGATGAGGAGGAGGAGGAGGAGGGAAGAGGAGGGGGAGGAAGAGGAGGAGGAGGCGCGCAAGGAGGAAGGAGGAGGAGAGGGAGGGCGACGGAGAGGAACGAGGAGGGAGGGCGCTGTGAGCGTGAATAAAAAAATATAGCAGTCTGCGGTATGCGCAGCGAGAGGTGCTCCCAAGACTGTGGCAGCGGGAGCGAGCGAATGGCTCGAGCTCCAAGAGGCTGGCGTGTGAACGGGCGTAGGCCGCTGCGTGCGGTCGTCGTCGTTGTCGCCGTCGTCGCCGTCGTCGGGGTCGTCGTCGGTGCCGTCTGGAGAAGGAGAGAGAAGAGCAAAAACAACAAGGGGAGGAGGAGGAGGAACTTACAGGCCACAGGGGAACGGCATATCATTTGGCCGACTCGGCACAAACGCAATATCGAACCAAGGGGAGGCAAGAAGGATGACGAGAATAATGAGGATGAAGAGAGTGAGACTGCGGAGGAATCTTCCTCGTCCTCCTCGCCCTCCCGTATGAGATGCACAGCGTCTCCAAGAAGACACCATGTGTCTCCGACCTGCACACAGCTGTACCACAAGTGGTATCCCTAGCAAACCGCAAGACTTGGGTACATAGCCGGACCGAAAGAAGCCAAGACGGAACGTCGCTCATGCTCAACCCGAATTTGAATGTAAGTCTGATTCCTTATTCTCCGTGCTATCCTTCTCTTCCTCTTTCTCCTCCTCCCCCTCCCCTCTATTCTCGGAGGTGACGCCTCATTGATTCCGAGAGGATTGGAGATTGTGTGTTTGCCTTATGTCGTGCTCGCTAATCATTTGCTGCCACGGTGGTGGCCTTCTTTGCCACTTTCTCGGTCCCTGTTGTCTGCCAATGCTGTGCCACACTCGCGGCCGTAGTTCTTTTCCTGGGGCGGGGCAGCGGGGCTCCGTGGCGACTGCAGGCCCTATATATATACGACTGGCCTGCGTGATGCCGTCTTCGGGATTCGCCGCCTGTCGTTCTCGACTGCAGTTCGTTCTCGCTGCTGTCGTGTTGCATTTGCATTTAGTTGGGAGGCCTGGGGCCCTTCGGGTACTCGGTGTCTGGCCACCAATGCCTGCGGGGCTGCGCGCTCAGCGACACATTGAGCACAGCGCAAGGAAGCATTTCGTTGAAATCCAAGGGAACTGCGGCGAAGGAAATGCGCGCTGTCAAGGCGTGACAAAGTCGAAGCCGCGGTCCCTACCGTCGGCGTCGCCGTCGGTGTCGGGCTGGCCGTCGCAAATGTAGTCTTCACACTTCATGCCGGCAGGCAACCGCAAATTCAAATGCTGCATCAATCGCTTCTCGATGAGCTCCCGCACAAGCCCGTGCTGGCTGACGATGAAGGGGTGCCCACACCACCGCTCAAGCTGCGAGATCATGATCATGACCAGTGTGATGGCTAAGATGAAGTGGGGTACATTGGACACGCGGTGGCGGAAATAGTTGCGCTTCGGCGCGACGGCCACTGAGAGCGACATATAGCCATCGCAGATCAGGAACCGATTGAGCTGGGTGTGTTCTGTTTGGGCGATGATCTCATCCCTGTGCATCTCGCCCATCTCCACAACCAGATTACCAACCTCCGCTTTTGTCATCTGGGCATCGTAGATGGCCAACAATCTCTCCGACTCGCCCGTGGTCGGGCGCTCGTCGAACAAGTACAGGCGCGTATCCTCGAGTTCCCTGCCAAACACGTTCTCAATGAGGCCCGTCAGCATGTGCTGCAAAGTGTACACGGCGACTACGCTGCCGATCGCGTATGGCTCCTTGCCCTGCTGCTCGACCTCGGCCTTCGTGAAGATGGGCGCTCCCTGAAGCAAGGAGCTGTTGCCAAACGCTGCATTGTCGGTGAAGACATTGTTCCACACCAACATTCCGTACTCAGGCACCGTGGCGAACTGCCGCAACAACCGCTTCGTGAAAGCCTTGCGCCCCGTCTCGGTCGACTCTTCGAATCCCACCCTGCGGCTCGCCAACGAACCAAGGTCGAACCCGGTGGGTCCCGGGTTCAGCTCCAGGGGCTCCTGGTACCAAACAACCAAGTGCTCTGGGTCGTCAACGGACGCTGGCATTACCTCAGGCTTACCGCCCTCCGGCTGAGGAAAAGCCGCCGTGATGTGAAGGCGCGGCTCACCAGTGATCCTGCACTGGTTCTTGGCACTGTCCCTACAATACAGCCCCTCCGATGGGATGTCATAGGCCGTGCCGTTGCAACAATCCTCGCGCACCTCCACGGATTCAGGGTCCATCTCGTAGAGATCTCGGTGCTGTGCTTGGACGCGGTGCACTAGGATCACTGTTCTCATTGCAGTCAGCTTTGGCATGAAGTAGGGCGAGAGCACGTACTGGCGGAATTCGTGTCTGGACAGCTGGCTGTCAAGGTGCCACAGATTTGCTACGCTGTCGAGAACCCACAGGTCGGACTCCATCTGGAGCCTCAAAGCATTGGCCACCGTCTTGGCAGTGTTCCCAAGCGTCGCCAACGCCTGCTCTTCCTCCGCCTCCAACGACAGGTGGAACTTGACGAAGGCCAGTGAGAGGGTCACGAGAGCAGCCACGATCGACACCTTACCGAAATGGCTCACACGCCGCATGATCAGCCACCTCTCAGGAGGAAACGAAACACAAAGACACACATATTCGTCGATTCCCCAGGAAGTATGGAACACATAGCCAGTGATGGGGAATACAAAACTCTAGAACATGTGTAGATAGACATATATATATATATAGATGTAGGGGAAGATCTGGGGAATCCTTGACATTTCGTGTCTACTTATCAGGGTGTCTCTGGGCCCCCTTAACCTCGCGAACGCAAGGCTTACTGCTGCGTGCAGCCAGCCCTGGAAGTAGCCCAAGCTGGCCCCGACACGCCCCCCGCAGGCGACGGGGAGGAAGTGAGAAAGAGAAGGCCTCCTCAGAAGGCGCGGCGGGGCTCCTCAGAAGCCCTCGCGCCTTCTGAGAGCATTTTCTCTGCGTCTTCGGGCAAGGCTTAGAACACTTCTCAGAAGGCCCACGGGGGCTCCCGAGCCTTCCGAGAAGGCAGGCCCCTTCTCACTTCCCCCCCCCCCGGGCTCGCCGCCGATCGCTCCTCCTCGCTCTTCTCAACCTCCTCCCCCACTCTCTCCCGCTCCCTCGTCCTCGCCTGCCTCCTCACTGCTCCAACTCCCTTCTCTCGTCGTCGTCGTCGTCGTCGTCGTTGTCGTCGTCCTCCTCCTTCTCCTCCTCCTCCTCCTCCTCCTCCCTTTGTCGGCCCTCGGCGACGACAACCTATGCACCGTACCGCGCTGCAGCGGGGGACCTGAAGTCTAGGCCTCCCGCATGGTGTCGGAGTGGGTGGGGTCGGAGGATCGCGCCGCATCGCCGATGCATCGCCGGTGCGGCTCCATGTGGAGCCCGGCTTGCTTCATGTCGACGCCGCCGATGCCTCGCCGACGTCGACGATGCTCGCCGCCAGCCCAGGGCAAGGCCTTTCTGGGGCGGCCTCGGCGCTTTCACCGCTCGGCGCGCAGAGCACGATGTCCCATGTGGGGCCGCCCCCGGGCTCGCCCTGGGGGGCCCGCCAGGGCCAGGCTGGACGACCTCCTCCACCTCCTCCTCCGCCCTCCTCCTCCTCCCTCCTCATCGTCCTCCCTCCTCCCTCTCCCTCCTCCTCCTCCTCCTCCTCCTCCTCCTCCTCCTCCTCCTCCTCCTCCTCCTCCGCCCTCCTCCTCCTCCTCCTCCTCCTCCTCCTCCTCCTCGTCATCCTCCTCCTCCTCCTCCTCCTCCTCCCCCAGGCGGTGCTCAATGATGCGCAGGCGTTTGAGTTTACGGTGGTTGTGCGACTCGCTGTGCGGCTCCCCCGCAGAGGCGGGGAGGCCGCCGGGACCAAGCTGGACGACCTCTGAGGAACCGCCCGCGCGCGGCCCCGGGCCCTGCCAGGCCTAGGGAGAGAGAACAGTCGAGCAGGATATCGGCTACAGCGTCCGTTTGCCCCACGATTCACTTCCTTGCCGAGATAGTCGCGGCATTCTGCGTGCTTTTTGTCTGCACCCTCGACGGGAAAATCGTTTCCGGGGTAGATCAACATTGTAGCCGACCCGTACTCGAAACAACAGCAGCAGCACCAACAGGAACAGCAACAGTCGTTCCAAGACTGATCACTCTTGTCTGTCGCGCGTCAGTCACCACACAACTATACATGTATGTGTGTATAGATACGTGCATCTGTACATACACACATCTCTATATATATATATATATATATAGAGATATCTGGGTATGTCCCGATCCCTCGATACCCGCCCGCCTCGTCTTCGATCGTGCCTCCCTTAGGGGTCTATCTTCCCTGCCTGCCACGTGCCGTTGGCGTAGCCCCTGAAACGAGGGAGGCAGGAACGAGGCAGAAAGAGAGAGAGAGAGAGAGAAAAAAAACAAAAGAGAGAGAGAGAGAGAGAGAAAGAGATCGGACCAGCTGGACGACGAGTCATCCGGGCGCTCGGCGGCAAGCGGCGGGCGCACCCCACACCTTGGCCGGTGCGAGTCGGCTAAAAGGGCCCTTCTCACCCGTCTGGGGCGGACGGCCGGGGGAGGAGGGAGAGGGAGGGGTGAGGGGGACCCCCCCCCAGCGAGCAAATGGTGTACTGTGACACTGCCTCGCAGCAGTCCGAGTCTCGCCTGTTGGGTTAAGCAACGCCTGCACCCATTTCTGGCATGACGGTACCTCACTGGCAATGGCGGCGTCCATCCAACACCCCTTCAGGACCCGAAGTGGCGGGAAGCTACCGTGGACGCTTGCCAGGCGGCGCACGGGTCTCGTGGAGAAATTTAGCAGTGGGCGAAGGGCAGGTGGTTCGAGGTGGACTGGCCGCGCTCGAGTGCTCGTGCGAACTGCGTCACTTCGGTGGTGTCGGCAGGCTGGGCCTTGTAGGGGAAGGGCGCTGCCTGAGGCAGGCCTTGCCCCCATCGATGGGCGGTCTGATGCGGTCCCGTGCTGCTGCTGTTGACTGTCTTACTGTTGACTGTCGTAATAAGGGCAGGGCTCATCGGCGGGGCGCTGCGGTCAGGAGAAGGCTAAGCCGTCTCCGACACTCCGTGGGTGGAGCGCTGAGCGGGGAGTCAATGGGAGCTGGTGGGGCTTCCAAGGGCGCTGCCGGGATCGTCGAGTGTGGTATTCTCCGGGCCGCTCGCCGCAATGGCGGTGGGGCAGAGCACCTTGGACCCGGGGATTGGACCCGGGGTCCTCGTGAGGAGGCTGAGTCGGGGCCTCTTCGCGGAAAGGGGGCCTGGCGGAAGATGACTGTGCCTGAGGCAAGCCGCTCCCGCCGCGAGGAGTCGCCCTGTGCGGTCACGCGCCGCGTGGGCCGCTGGGCTCCAGGCGAAGGTGATCAGAGTGGAGGTGCGAATGCCCGCCAAGGCGGACGGGGTCTTGGTCACCCTCGGGCCTCTGGGCCGGGGCCGCCTGCGGAGGGAGGCGGCCGCGGCCGTCGGCAGCAACGTGGATGCGTCCAAGAATGCGAGGGGGCAGCGCGGGGCGGTGTGGCAGAGGCTGCGCCTCGGCAGCCGCGGCACTGACCTGCAGAACTGCTCGAATGGCCGCCACTATCTGATCGGCCGTGCGCGGGGGGATGGTCCGTGAGCCAGTGCTAATGGGGCTCTCGGCTGGCACCGTGGTGGCTCCCGTCGGATTGGTGGTTGGAGCATGTGGTGCCGTACCCCGAGCGGCTGCTTAGAATCGCGTTGCTAGCCTCTGTGCTGCTGCTGCTGCTGCTGCTGCTGCTGCTGCCTGTCGTGAGGCCGGAGCTCGACGGCAGAGCGCTACGGTCAGGAGAAAGCTGAACCGTCTCGGACCCGCCGTGGGTGAAGCGCTGCATCGCCGATGAGTCCGCGATGCGGCTCGAAGCAGAGCTCGTTTTCCTCCACGGTGGCGTCGCCGAAGCATCGCTGATGTCGCCGGAACATCGTCGATGAATCGCCGATGCGTCGCGAACCTCCGTCCATGGGCGCTGGTGGAGCCGTCGCAGGTGCTGCCAAATTCGTCGGGCGTGGCCTGTTCACGGCCGGTCGCGGCTGGCACGGCGGGGCAGAGCTCCTGGCACCCAGGGTCGCCCTGTTGCCTGGGCTGCGTGGCGCAAAAAAACGAGGCGCCGCAGGAGCAGGAGCGTCGTCATCGGGAAGAGCGATGCGGTAATTAGGCCTCCGTGGTGGCGGGGAGCTGACGCCGAGGGCTGGCTGGTCCGCGGTGCTCGCGCGTGTGCGTATCTATGTGTTCTCTGTATGTACGTTCGGTGTGTAGTAGGTGTTGTGTGTGAAACTGATTTTTTTTCAAAGGATCGTTTTGAACAGGGGCTCGATTGTTAGAGGATTTCTCAGGCGAAACTGCAATGTTCAAATGATCGGGGTCGAACTCATTGAATTACACTCTGTTTTTAAGGTTGCATGTTAAAATGCTTGAACACATTTTGTTTTTGGACCGTGATATCGAGATCCATGTGAGGGTTACGTCCAATTCTCAGAATTTTGAAGATGTCCCGAGCGAAACGGCCAGACACATCTCGAACGGGACGGGACCCTCAAGTAATCGCCTCAATTAATCAATTACGCCTTAAAGTGCGTATGACAATACATATACATACATATATATGTGCATGGGAGAGAGAGAGGAAACAAAACAAAAAAGGCTTCGCTCGTCCTGCGTATGCTCTGTGCGTCTTGTCACACATGTTTTAAAATGTTAGGTTCCAACGAGAGAAACTTCAAACGCTAGAACACTACTGCGCAGGTGTTTCCCTGAGAGGCCTGCGCATACTTCTCTGACCGGCGCTGGACCTCCCTCCCTGGCGCGCGAGGCGTGCCAGGGGCGGCGCCAGAGCAGCCGCCAGGGAGGTCCAGCGCCGACCCCGGATGTGGGCGCGGAGCTCCGAGAGCTAGATGTTCCTTCGGTGCTCGCTTCTTCGAGGGCCGCCTTGCGCAGCAGGGCAGCCTGCACTCCCTGGCCTTTCCCGCGCGGGCACTGGGCAGAGCCGACCCCGCGCCAGTTGCAGTGTGGGGCGCAGGCCCCACCTTGGCCATGGTCGGGCGGGGCCCCCTGCACGCGGCCCCCCCCCCCCCGGAGGTGGACCGAGTCGGACCGCGCGCGCCGTGGCCGCGGGCGCGAGCCTCGAAGCAGCGGTTGAGCCGAAGCGCCAGGGGAGGGAAGGGCGGAGCCGGAAGCCCGCGGGGCACCTGCTGTCAGGCAGGTTGGTATCTTACCTAGCATGCCTACTGTAGGGATGGGCAGGGAGATGATGGGAGGGACGAGGAGAAAAACGAGGAAGATGACGACATCGATGATGTAGTAGGAATACGAGACTGGTGACGAGAGGAGGGAAAGAAGGTGAACCATCGCGTCCCCGAAATCATAATTGCCCGCCATTGCCCGCCTATTGCCAGCCTGGTGCCCGTTCTATTACTCGCCCTTTTTCCACGAGTTACCCGCCGCACACATATATATATACATATATACACACACCTAATATGTAGACATTGCAAAACTGTTTGTTCTAACAAAATCGAGGCGGGTAATCGGGACCAAGTGGGCGGGTACAAGACCGGGTAGTAGGCGGGCAATGGCGGGCAATTCGGACTTCACCCCCCCGCACTCCTCCCAAACCTCTGGAAGCCTCCTATTCCTCCTGAACCGTCCGCACTGCTCCCAAAAACCTCAGAAACCGTCCCATTCCTCGACGCTCCTCCGTACTCCTCCGAGAACCTGCAGAACCTCCCATCCATCCGCAACCCTCCGCACTCCTCCGAAAACCTGTGGAACGACCACATCCCTCCTAAACCATTTCCGCTCACCCAGAAATCGCCAGAACCCTCACGAACCTTCCAAACCCTCCGAGCTCCCAAAAACATCGTCATCATCATCACCACGACCACCATCATCATCATCATCATCATCATCATCATCATCATCATCATCATCATCATCATCATCATCAACAACAACATCATCACCATCGCCATCATCATCATCATCAGCATCAGCATCATCATCATCCATCATCATCAACGCCATCATCGTCGTCTTCTCCCCATTCTCTTAAACCCCGTGCGAAAAGCATATGATGTTTTTCAACACGCACGCACACACACCACCCCCCAATTTCAATGTTCAATGTTGTTTCGAACTTCGCCGGTCGCACGATCAACATTGAAATGGGGGGGCCGCGGGGCTCACCAAACACCAATTGCTTGTCGCACTGGGTTGTAAAGCCCCCCCTACGTAATCCCACAGAGCCCTCAAGAATTGTTCCGCCCCCCAGAGAACCTCCTCCATTCCTTTTCCATATGAATGGCTTCTCCCTGTCGCACCCCGAGGACGGGCCGGGCGCTTCGCCTGAGACTTCCTCATCATTTATGACCTGAAGCTTAAACAGTGGCAACAATTCCATACATGGAGGGCGGGTGGTTTTCAAACTGTGGCTCTCGCCTTAGCGCCGCGCACACTCATTGTCAAAATTTTTAAGAGCTTCACGGATTGAGGGCGGTTCCTTTTCAAAATGTGGCTCTCGCCTAAGCGCCGCGCACACTCGTCTTAACAAATGCAAGTTTCACGGATTCACATGAGCGACGTACCAGGGAAGGATTCACGATTATGAGGGTGCTACAGTTACGATGATTCGCGGTGTTGAAGTCCCAGGAATGGCGTTCTGGCACTATTCAAAATCTTCAAACCCAACATTCAGCTTGATCCGTAGCGTTAGGATCCCGAGAGAAAAGCTTTGGCATGCTTCAGGGTCTGAAAACGGTTGTCTTCCAACGAGGCAATTTCCTCTGTGGAAATGAACCGTTGTAGGGGCCTCTGAAAATGGAGCTTGGGGGGAGGGTTTATTACAACATCGTTGGTGACTCTTGGGTTTGCACTGGTCCTCCTCCTCCTCCTCCTCCTCCTCCCTCCTCCTCCTCCTCCTCCTCCTCCTCCTCCTCCTCCTCCTCCTCCTCCTCCTCTCCTGTCGGTCCATTCAGCTCGTCCTCCCCCCCGGGGAAACTTCAAGAACGATGAGGAAGCCCCCGATCCTCGACGCTGGACTGGCACATCGTCCCCCCACTCTCCTGGCAGTCAACGGAGGCCTCGGGAGGTCCCCCAGCGTCCAAACAAATTTACTAACAACGCCCAGGAACCTCTGACCTCCGTGCACCATCCCTGTGGCGATAGCGGCGGCGGCGACGCGGCGGCGATGACCCCAGACCCCCGACGTCGTGCTCTGCTCACAGCGGGGTTTCTCCGATGTTTGGACACCCCTCTCCAGGGCCAGCCTCTCTCTCCCCGAGCTCTGTTGTCCGATGGCAATTGGACCACGCGGGGGCCCCCAAATCAAGAAACAACTCCTCGGATGTCTTTGTGAAAACGACTGCTGGCCATCAAGCCCGCCCGAATAAGGTGCCGTCAGGCCTGAAGTGGAACTCTCTGCTTAGCTGGGGTATGTTTCTGACTGCGATTTCGTTGCTCTTTGCTGACATGATTGTTGAGGAACTGGCTATGTTCTCGTGTGGGCCACCGAGGTAATTGCAGTTGTTTGTAAGGGTTGTGGAAGTGGTTCAGGACATGTTCGTTAGATTCGTAGGGTTTGAAGAAGTGAACGTTCGATTTGCTGAGGTTGACGAAGTGGCTGAAAAGGTAGTTGTTCACATTCTTGGGGGTTGAGGGCGTAGCTTAGAAAGTAGTTGCTCAATGTTCAGAGTTTGGCAAAGTGGTGGAAAAATGGTAGATGTTTTTTTGGAAGGTGAACAAGTTGTTGAGAAAATGGTAGCTCTTTTTGGGGGAGGTTGAGGAGATGTTGACGACATGACCGCCGAAATGATGGGGTTTGAGGAAGTGGTTGAGGACGTGATTGTTGGATTTATGGAGGTTTGAGGGAGTATGTGGGGAATGTGTTGTTCAACGTGTAGGAAGTTGGTTGAATACGTTGCTCCATGTTTTGGAGACTGGGGAAGTGGTTGTTCCCTTGTCTGGAGGTTGGCTAAATCTCAGTCTGGAGGATTGATGGGCTGAGGAAGTGCTTGTTGGCTTGGAGGGTTGTAGGATGCAGGCGTGTAGGTCGTAGGAATTAAGACAGAAGTTGTTCAACGCTAAGTACCCGAAGCAAGCCCCAAGCCCGAGCTGCAGCGCGAGCCCGAGCCCGAGCCGCAGCCCGGGCCCCACGAGTCGGAGCCCGACGAGCTTGACCTCAAGCTCGAGCCCGAGCACGGACGTGAGGTGCGCGCGTGGCGCTATACGACACTTACACGGATTTTCCAACGTAGCCTCAGACGCTAAATGGTGACAACTCATTTCTTCACTCGTATTCTTGCCCCCCCCCCCGGCCGCAGGATCTGATAAGTGGTGTCGCAACGCACTCCCCTTATTGCTTCGAAGTTATGTAGGTAATTTCCTAACGTATTTTGGCTTGAGCAGGGATCAGCTGGTCCCTCCACCTTCTCATTTCTCCCCCTCCATCCTGGGCTCCGACGCTCCGAGGCTTTTTGCGCATCCGCCGCCCGCCACAGGTCGGCGGCCAGAGGCGGGTCGGCACGCACGGCGCGGCCTTGGGTCGCCGGCGAATTCGATCCCGTGGCGCCAGTCGCAGGTCGCGGGGCCGGCGAATTTCCTCCGCGCTATCGCGTCTCCGCGGGCAGTCGATACAAGCGTTCCATCTCCGATTCCTGGTGCCCGATTGTCGGACTGCGGTTCCCAACTGCCAGACCCCAGTTCCCAACTATCGGACTCTGGCTCTATCTCGCCAATTCAAATTCCAGCGACCGTGCCCGTGGCCCACTCGCTCGCCGAGCCTGATCCATCCGCCGTCCGCAGCGCTTACCCCACCCAGTTCGGTTTCCGCGCCATCGACGAAGCGACAGCTTCCCCTCGCGAGATTCCTGCGCGCCTCTGAAACGGAGCCTTCGCGGGGCATTGCGCGCGCATGGGGCGCGGCTCCGCGCGGGAGACTTGCCATTTGTGCTGGGCGGCGGGGATGCCATTGAGATCTTCACGGCAGGCTTCGACGTCGCTGGTTCCTTCCCTGCGAAGAGTGCGCGAGGGCAAACACGTTCAAGATGGAAGACGGGGGCGCAGGGGGCGAAGAAGACGGGCCGATGCGCCCAGATCGCGCGCCGCCCATGCGCAGGCGCCAGCCGAAACGTTTGCCTTTGCGACCACGGCTTCTGGCTGGAGGAAGGGCGAAGTCAGCGAGGATCATGAAGCTGTCGGCAAGCCTGTTGCGATGCCAGCGCGGCATGATTGCTGATCATATCTTGTTCTGTGATTCACACTACAGGCTGGGAAGGTTTTCTCTTGACGCCGCCACGTGGCCGAACGCCGGATACCAGCAGGCATTCTGTCAGTGGTGGCTGTGCCACGTAACGTATACCATTTGGCACATCCCAATGTGTCTTGGGACCCCCCAGGGGGCATAACGTCACAAGTGTAATGATGCCCACCACGTGTGTGAATTAATTCCCTACCTAGGCTCTGCCTAGAAGGGTTCTTACTCTGTTAGCTTAAAGGGGCCGGGCAATGGAAATCGCCCCGGGCGGTTCCCCCAGTCCCCGCCCCGCGGTTCCCCCAGTTGCGCCCCCTGGGTTCACCCAGCTGAGCTTAGCTTCAGCTGAGCTTTAGCTTAGCTTGAGCTTAGCTTGAGCTTAGTTTTAGCTTAGCTTTAGCTTAGCTTTAGCTGAGCTTCAGCTTAGCTTTAACCTAGCTTTAGCTTAGCTTCAGCTTAGCTCTAGCTTAGCTTTAGCTTAGCTTTGCTTAGCTCTAGCTTAGCTCTAGCTTAGCTTTAACTTAGCTTTAGCTTAGCTCTAGCTTAGCTTCAGCTTAGCTTTAGCTTAGCTGCAGCTTAGCTTTAACTTAGCTTCAGCTTAGCTTCAGCTTAGCTCTAACTTAGCTTAGCTTTAGATTAGCTCTAGCTTAGCTTTAGCTTAGCTTTAGCTTATCTTTAGCTTAGTTTCAGTTCAGCTTCAGCTTAGCTTTAGCTTAGCTCTAGCTTAGCGTCAGCTTAGGTTCAGCTTAGCTTTAGCTTAGTTTTAGCTTAGCTCTAGCTTAGCTTCAGCTTAGCTTTAGCTTGGTTTCAGTTTAGCTTCAGCTTAGTTTTAGCTTAGCTTCAGCTTAGCTCTAGCTTAGCTCTAGCTTAGCGTTAGCTTAGTGATAGCTTAGTTTTAGCTTAGCTTTAGCTTAGCTTTAGCTTAGCCTTAGTTTAGCTTTAGCTTAGCTTTAGCTTAGCTTTAGCTTAACTTTAGCTCTGCTTTAGCTTAGCTTTAGCTTAGCTTTTTTCTTAGCTTTAACTTACCTTTACTGTTACTACTAATGCTGCTTTCCTAGGGGCTCCAACTCCTAGGTAGGGTCGCACTGGGATCATTTTTCTTTCAGTTCCATACATCGCGTGACATAACTAACTCAATGTGTATCGGAGCACCCAAAGCACCCGACGCCGACGACGACGACGAAGAGGAAGACGACGACGACGACGAAGACTACCACCACCACCATCACCATCACCATCACCATTACCATCACCATTACTATCACCACGACCGCCATGATCACCACGACCACCATGACCACCACGACGACCACGACGACCACGACGACCACGACCACGACGACGACGGCCACGACGACCACGATCACGACCACGACCACGACCACGACCAGGACCACAACGACGACGACGACGACCACCACCGCCACCACCACCACCACCCACCATCACCATCACCATCACCATTACCATCACCATCACTATCACCATCACCACGACCGCCACGACCACCACGACCACCATGACCACCACGACGACCACCACGACCACGACGACCACGACCACGACGACGACGGCCACGACGACCACGACCACGACCACGACCACGACCAGGACCACGACCAGGACCACGACGACGACGACGACGACGACGACGATGACGACGACGACGACGACGATGGCGGCTAGGACGTTCACGTGCGCTCTCGCCCGAATGCCGGCCACTCCCTGGTTCTCGCCTCGCTGCTGGCCAGTGTCTCGGTCTGGCCGACCACCTCTCCCTTTAGCAAGGAGAGGCCCCCCGTGCGGCGCTGATCCCCCTTCGGGAGGGGAGACGTGCCGGGGGGAGACACCGCCCCCTCCCTTCAAGGGGGGGGCCCTTGGGGGGACATACTGCTGTCACCCCCAAACACGCACATTTTTGAAAAGGAACCGCCCGTTTGGGCTACTTGTGCTTGGGTCGCCTGATCTACCCCACTTCCTATTGGAAAACCAATATGTGAGGACGTCTCAAGCGAAACCGGGCCCAAACCAGGCCAAACCTGGCAAATTGCGAGGACGTCTCAAGCGAAACTGGGCCCAAACCAGGCCAAACCAGGGCCAAACCAGGCAAAGTGTGAGGACGTCTCAAGCGAAACCGGGCCCAAACCAGGCCAAACCAGGGGCCAAACCAGGCAAATTCTGAGGATGTCTCAGGCGGGGCGCGCCGCCCAACCAGGCCAAACCAGGGGCCAAACCAGGCCAAACCAGGCCCCAAACCAGGCAGATTTTGAGGACGTCCCAAGCAGAATCGCCCAAACCAGGCTCCATCCACTCTCCTTAATAAGATTAAAGGAGTGGATCACCGCCTGGGCCCCCCCCCGCGGGCGGAAGCCTTTTAGAATTTTATGGGGGGGGCCTTTGGATCGCGCACCCGCTGATGCGGACAGGGTTGGGCGCAGAAGGTCTCATTCGTCTTTCGGTTGTTGTTGTTGTTGTTGGGGTCCGTTGTGGCGTCAAGAGAAATGTTTCTGAGCCTGTAGACACTGGACTTCACCACCCCTGGGCCCTGGGGGCTGTCGTGTGCTCCTGGGGGGTCAGGCGCAGTGCGGGCCAACGCAGATTCACTTTAGACCTCGTCGTCTTTGGGGGACCGCGACTTGTGAAACTATCACTATCTTCGCGTGCTCTTGGGGCGTCCAGCGTAGCGCGGGCCAACGCAGATTCGGATTAGACATCGCCCCCCCTGGGGGGCTGCGAACTGCGAAAGCAGTCGCCGCTTTCGCGTGCTCCTGGGGGTCTGGCGAAGTCCGAAGTCCGTAGTCCGCAGTGCGGGCAAACGCAGATTCACATGAGACCTTGCCATTCCAGCGGGTTGCGAACAGCTAAGCTGCCGCCACTTTCGCATGCTCCTGGGGGGGGGAACGTAGTCCTGGCCCACGCAGATCCAAATCAGACATCGCCACTCCCTGGGTCCCTGAATCTGCGACCTGCGGAAGTGTCGCAACGTTCGTTTGCTCCTGGGAGGCTGAGCGGAACGACGCCATGCCCAGATCAGAATGAGACCTCTCTCGATCATTTCACACCATGAGTCGTGCAATGCGTAAGCCTCGATGTAACTTCCACACACCGCATCCCGGTGCCATCGTGACAAAGCGGCCCAATGTTCAGGCATTTGGTGCACATGTGTTCGGTTCGTCGCAAAGTCACTTTCTTTCGTGATTACTGTGCATGCGTCTCGGAATTCTTAGATCTATCGTTTATACATAACAAGCTTTAAACCAGCAGCCATTTTTCCAAACCCATGCCCGCCCCATCTGCAAGCCACTCCCATCCTTCCTTTCAAGCCCTTCGTCCAAGCCCCCTCCACGCTCCAAGTTCCCGCCCAACCCCTGTTGGTTTCCCTTCGTTGCACTGCGACCACATTCGAGACACCCAGCAGCCCAACGGAAGGCAGCCACTATATGATCCCCTCGCCCGACCTCCTCCACGCCCCTCCCTCCTTCCTTTTGAACCCTTCTTGCAACCCCTCCGCGTTCTGAGCCTCCGCCCAGCACTCCTTCTACAAGTGCTAAATACTGCGCTTGTGCATATGAAGCCATTGCTAACATGCGACCGGGAGAACAACTACTCTGGTACTCATTTTTTCTAATCAGTAACGTGTCTACCGTTTTCCAAACGATGTCCAACCAATTTCCTCATCGAGGTAACTATGTACCACGTAAAAATCAAGATGCCCGTTTCAGCGGTGGGTCATATAAACCCAGATGAAGCCCAATATTGAACCCGATCAAGTCGGACTAAGCAGGACTAGACGGGCTTTCGACAGCGGATGCACCAGCGCCCATGCTGAATAAAACCTCCCAAGATCTGCATCCTGACCCAGAAGCTGAAAATGGGTACAGTCTTCCGTCGTGATTTAGTGTACGGCGCCATCAACGATGCATCGGCACCATCGAAGTGGAGAAATTCTGGCTCCACATCGACGATGCATCGTCGATGCGGAGCGATCCTCCGACCCCATCTGGGAGGCCCAGATTTTGCGCACGGGGCGAAGGGGGAATGGGACGGCGCTGGCCGCGGCGACGCGGTTGGAGAAAGGGAAAGGAGGTCGGGGGGCGGGACGCGGTAGGAGGCAAGGGGGAGGTAGGAGGGGAGAAGAGGAGGAGGAGGTGGAGGAGGAGGTGGAGGAGGAGGAGGATGAGGAGCAGTGGAGGAAGATGACGAGGAAGAGGAGGAGAGAAGTGAAGGAGGAACGGGCGGGGGAAGAGGAGGAGGAGGAGGAAGAAGAAGAGGAGTACGACGCGGAGGAAAGAGGAGGAGGAGGAAGAGGAGGAGCGAAGGAGGAGGAGGAGGAAGAGGAAGAGGAAGAGGATGATGATGATGATGATGCTGCTGCTGCTGCTGATGATGATGATGATGATGATGATGATGATGATGATGATGAGGAGGAGGAGGAGGAGGAGCAGAAGGAGGAGGAGGAAGAGGGCGGCGATGCCGATCGGGGCCAAAGCTCTCCTCCCCGAGGATCGCGGGCGGCAGCAGCACGCCCTTCCGAATGGGGTTCGGCATGTGCAGCCTTCGGGGGCGAGTGCGATGAGGATCCCACCCCTGAGGTCTGGAATTTGAAATCTGGCCGCGTCCATTCTGTAGCGTTGCCAACTTGCGGCAGTCACACACACACACACGTGTTGGCGGGCATGTTTTGTGACCCCTCTCGTGAGCCCTCGGGGGGGCCAAAGGGGCTCGCGTGACCCCGTATTGGCCCCATGACCTCACGGGGCTTTGTGAACGGGTGTTGGCCATGAACGCCGCTCCAATACAGAGCCCGTGTGACGCGAACAAAATGGATGGCGCCATCTTTGGTCGTTGTAAGACCTTTCCTGGCCTCCCCAGACATCCTGAGGCTCGATCTTGTCGAGGCACAAACCCCCGACCTCTCGACCGCTTTCCTGCGGCCAGTTTGTCATCCCGAGCCGTGTCTCGATCGTCGGGAACCCGAAACCGCCTCCGAAGGCTCCAAATAGAGAGAACCCGTCCGCCGGGATTTTGATCGAGCCGCCAGACGCCTTGGTCGTTGCTGCTTCTCGTCGCCGCGGCTGGATTCCCTTCGAGGTATGTGCGGACGGGATTCTGCACGTGTCGCGAGAGGGCGTGAGGACGACGAGGATCCTTGACCTCCAGCGCCTCGCTCCTTTCTCACTGACGATGCACGCGTTGCTGATACCCCCACCAGTGCCCACCCTGTCCTCCCAACGGAAGAGCACTCCTCGGGGCAGGGGGCGCACCCGCGCGCTCTCGAGCAGAGGAGGAGGAGGAGGAGGAGGAGGAGGAGGAGGAGGAGGAGGAGGAGGAGGAGGAGGACTTGTTCCCGATCGTCCTGTGGTGTTGTGCCCTCGCTTTGAAGAGACAGCGCCGCGCCCAGCTCACCGTGTGTACGTTTCGGCTTACCCCATCGCGCGCTTCGTGCCCCCTTTGCGGAGCCCCACCGAAGGCCTCCAGGACGTGGTGCCACATAGCGTCCCCCAGTCCATTTCCGGCGAACCCCTCACACGCTTCGTGGCACAATGGGAGTTCACCGAAGCTCCCAGGGGGTGGTGCGACATATCGCCACCCAGCGCACTTCTGGCACACCCTCACACGCTTCTTAGCCCAATAGAGAGCTCCACCAAAGCCCCAGGGGAAGGGACCACGTAGCGTCCCCCAGCCCTGTTGGCACACCCCTCGCACGTTTCGTGGCCCCACCCAGCTCCACCGAAGCTCCCCTGAACCGCATAGCGTCCCCCAGCCAATTTCGGGACATCCCTCATGCTTTTCGTGGCCTGAGAGGGAGCTCTACTCAAGGCCCCAGTGGGTGCGTCCACATGCGCCCCCCCGCCCATTTCTGCAAACCAGAGGGAACTATGCGGCTTCCAGACAATTTCCGGTAAACCTCTCACACGCTTCGTGGCCCCATCGGGAGCTCCACCTGAGGCCCCAGTGGGTGCGTCCATTTGCGGCTCCAGGCCCATTTCGGCAAACATATCACACGTTTCGTGGCCACAGGAAGCTCATTCTCCTTTATTCTACTTGCCTTGCGATACGCACAGTTGTATATGGTTGGGTCCCTGGCCAGGGTATTTTTCCCCAGGGGATATCTGGAGCTGGCTGCAACAACAACAACGCCCCCCGCCTGATGTCTCCTTCTACGATTAGCCACGTTCTTGCCCGTCACGTCTCTTCAACTTACTCAAGGGCCGCGTGGTCGCCTGATACTTCTTCACATTGCAGCTAAGAATCGCGCTCCCGCTTCTCCGGGATCGTGCTCTCGTCTGGGGATTCCTCACGCTTTACTCAGAAATCGGGCCCTCGCCGCAAAGGACTTAAACTTTTTATGATGACAATGCTGATGGCAAGTATAGTAATAATAATGATGATGCTGTTGATGCTGATGCCGAGGCTGGTGCTGAGGATGATAGCAAGTGTGATGATGATACGGTTGCTGCTGATGATGATTATTATTATTATTATGATGACGGTGCTGATGATGGTGGCGACGGTCGCGATCATGCTGACGACAATGATGATGATGATGATGCTGATGATGATGATGATGATGATGATCATGATGATGATGATCATGATGATGATGATAACGATGACGATTATGATGCTAGTGATGATGATTATGATGATGATGATGATGGTGATGATGATGATGATCACGATGATGGTGAAGATGATTATGATGAAGATGACAATTACGAGGATTCTGATACTAATACTGATCATGATGATGCTGTTGATGGTGCTGCTGCTATGGCGATGAGGACGACGTCGATGTTGAACTTGATGCTGATGATGCTGATGACGAGGCTGATGCTGTTGTTGTTGATGAGGATGAGGGTGGTAATGCGGATGATGAAGCTGCCGATGACGACGAGGACGATGATGCTGATGCTGCTGATGATGATGACGATGATGATGCGGCTGCTGCTGCTGCTGATGATGATGATGCTGCTCATGCTGATGCTGATGATGATGATGCTGATGATGTTGATGATGATCAGAAGGTTGAGGACCAGGAGCAGGAGGAGGTGGAGGAAGGAGGAGGAAGGGCTCGGATCGGGTCGAGCTCGTCAAGGTTAGGTGTCGCCTCTGTGCCACTGAGATCGCCATGCCGATACGGTTGTGTAAGACAGAGGAGGATGCGGGGGAGCAATGGGGAGGAGGAGGAGGAGGAGGAGGAGGAGGAGAAGAAGGATGAGGAGGGGGATGAAGGGGAGGAGGACGAGGCGGATGATGATGATGATGATGCTGATGATGGTGGTGATGATGAAGATCATGATGATGACGATGATGGTAATGCTGCTGATGATGATGCTAATGCTGATGCTGATGATGATGATGATGATGATGATGATGATGATGATGATGATGATGATGATGATGATGCTGATGCTGATGCTGCCGCTGATGATGATGCTGATGATGCTGCTGATACTGATGATGGTGATGATGACGACGATGACGATGAAAATGACGATGATATTGATGATCATGATGATATTGATGATGCTGTTGCTGCTGCTGCTGATGATGATGATGAGGATGTTAATGAGGAGGAGGAGGAGGAGGAGGAGGAGGAGGAGGAGGAGGAGGAGAGGGAGGATGAGGGCGACGAACATGATGATAATGAGGAGGAGGAGGAGGAGGAGAAGAACGAAGAGGAGGATGAGGAGGAGATATGGGATGAGGAGGGGGAGAAATGGGAGGAGGGAGAGGGTGAAGATGTCAAACTAGGTGCGCTCGCACCTCATCTGACATCCTATCCCTCCCGTCCACCCCTTCCCATTGCGTTGATTTGTTCTCTTTCCGCGGACTTGTGTCATTGCCGACCTGGAACTCCCACAAAACAACCCATCGCGTTATGCGCACTCGGAAAAGGGGAGCTGCGTACATAGGAGGAGAGGAGGGGGAGGAGAAGGAGGAGGAGGAGGAGGAGGAGGAGGAGGAGGAGGAGGAGGAGGAGGAGGATGGGGAGGAGAAGCAGGAGGAGGAGGAGGAGGAGGAGGCGGGTGAGCAGGAGGAGGAGCAGGAGGAAAAGGAGGGCGTGGAAGGAGGAGGAGGACGAACAGCAACAACAAGAACTGGAGTGGAATGATCGGCAGGAGCAGGAGGACCAGGGGAAGGAAAAAGAGGGGAAATGAGGGGGGCGACATCGATGATAAAGAACCCGAATCCAGAAAAGTGGCCCACGGTGGGGCGGGAGTGTCATTCTGAACAAGAAGAGCAACGCACCGATCCGAAAGAACAGTCCACGCTCCAGTCGGAACACCATTATGAAACACCTGAAACAATCGGATGGCAAAAACATGCCATGCGAAAAATCAATGTTTGAAATCCGGTGTGCAAAACAATTCGCGGACTCCAGGGCTCCCGAGAGGCCCCCAAGAGAGCCCCAAGAGAGCTCCAAGAGGGCCCCGAGACCGCCCGAAAGAGCTCCAGAAGAACCCCAAGACCCCTCAAAAGAGCCCCAAGATGGCACGGAAACAGCCCCAAAAGGACCCCAAGAGTGCGCAACAATATTCCCAAATGGCTCAAGAGAGGCCCAAGAGCAGCCCAAGAGCGCCCCAGGATGCGATGTTGATGGTCCAAGGAGGGGGATGGAAAACTAACACCCCCCACATTTGATCGATAGCCTCCAAGATGGCCCCCTGGCTCCAAAGAGGTCCCCAAGAGGACCCCAAGACGGCACAAAGAGCGCCCCAAGAGCGTGTCACAAGGGCCCCAATAGGCTGTCTGCCTCTTCCTCCTCCTCCTCCTCCTCCTCCTCCTCCTTCTCCTCCTCCTCCTCCTCCTCCTCCTCCTCCTCCTCCTCCTCCTCCTCCTCCTCCCCTCGGCCCCCCCGCGGGCCCCAGGGATGGCCCGAAGGGGGCCTCCAAGGCCACCCCTTGCTCCCAGAGATCTCTCTGTTCATTCATCCTGGTTGCCCGCTTTGTTTCACTAGATGTGTCTCTTCGTCCTTTTTCCCGTTTGCTCCCATGAGCAACGATTCTGAACGGGCTGGTGGGGATACTTTTTGATTGGCGGCCCCAAGGACAGCTCCAGAGAGCGGGACGGTCTCGGTTGGGGCACAGGGCGAGATAATTAGCGGCAGCGGCGCCCAGGCCGCAGCAGCGGGTGCACGTGCCAAGGACAAAATGACCCTCATTAAGACGCAGGCGACCCGGAATCGGGGAACGCAGGCATCAGAAAGGGGAAACAGACGGAAGAGAAGTCGCACAAGTGGCGCCAGCTCTGACCGTACCGAACAGCACGCAAGGGCGTGGATCACGCCGTGCTGTGGCGGCACCAAGGGGCACGGGTGGCCGCACCGTCCAACATGAAGAGGAGGCGAAGGAACGTGAGAGACACGGCGGGCGCGAGGGCACGCGGGGAACGAAGAGGAGGCCAAGGAACAGGAGAGGCACGGCGGGCGCGAGGGCACGCGGCGGCAGGAAAAGGGGGGAACAGGTGGAGGCCTCACTCACAAGGACGCATAGGATGCACTTGGGCACGAGCGACCGTCCTATTCAAGGAACCGGCGGCCC